AAATTTCTTTTTAATTAGCCAGGCGTGGTGGCACATGCCTGTAGTCTCAACTACTAGGGAGGCTGAGGCAGGAGGATCACCTGAGCCCAGGAGTTCCAGGCTGTAGTGAGCTATGATTGTGTCACTGCACTCTAGCCTGGGCAACAGAGCGAGATCCTGTCTCAATAAAAACACAACTCCATCCCCTATCCACATGAAACTAGAAAGGGAAGGTACTCGTATTCATAGCTATACTCTAAGCTTAAGGAGTGGGCCCACCGCTAAGCTGGGTGAGTGTGTCTGTATCGCAGCAGACAGGCCACTTTTTCCACAAGGGTTTAGCCTTTCTGCACTGGTCTTCCCCACTGGGACTGATCTAATCCACTGGCAGTCACCCACCAAGTTCCAGGCCTCTGCTCCCCCATTCTGGCCATAGGAAATGATATTACACATTTTAGTAGAGCTGAGGGAGGCAGGGTTCTGCCTGTGGATCAAGGCAATGATACCATGTCACCCACCTAACTCAAGGCTGCTCCAGGTGAGCAGACACCCTTGACAGGACCCCCACTGAGCTGTACACAGGGGAGCCTATCAAAGGCTGGTTTGAACAGTCTATGTTTCCCCTTAGTCCTTTGTCTTTCCTGGGAAGCCTGATGATGTTACAATGGTGGTTAAGAACATGGGCTCTGGAGTCAAACTACTTGGGTTAAACTCATGTCCCTACCATATGCTAGTTATGTAACTTGGGAAAATTACTAAACTTTTCTGCCCTTGTTTCCTCTTTGGGAAATAATAATGGCACCTACATTATAGAGTTGTGCCAAGCACATTCACTAGCTATTTTTATTGTTATTATCTCTAGAAAATTCCGTGTACTCCACTTTACATCAGCAATCTGCAACCAGCGCTAAGTCCTGCTATTGTCTCATGCCCCATCTACTTCTCATGTTCAGAATTCTGAACAAGTGCACCACTTCAAGGAAGATATTTTTGGACATAGAGCCAAAGGAACTGCTTCCATATGGAAAACATGCCTTGAGGATTGGTCTGCTTTCCTGGGCTCATGCTTCTGTCCACTTCCTCCCAAAGCACTGACAATTTATTTGTATCAGGGAAGATGATAAGTGCAAATTAGCCTTCCAAACACACTTCAGCCCATTTCAGTACATCTTAATGTTCCATCCACCTTTAAGAGACTAATGCCTAACATTTGATTTGACCTCCTAGACAGGAGTCATGAGTCATTTTTTCTGTTTGTTTTTTTTGTTTTGTTTTTTGTTTTTTTGAGACATGGTCTTGCTCTGTCACCCAGGCTGGGGTGCAGTGGCACAATTATAGCCCACTGCACCCTCAACCTCCTGAACTTCAGCGATCTTCCCACCTCAGCCTCCTGAGTAGCTAGGACCACAGGCTCATCCCACCACACCTCAGTCTCCCAAAGTGCTGGGATTATAGGCATTAGCCACCATGCCTGGCTGCAAATACCCTAATCTAGAAGGTAGATTTCTGGGAGGCACAAAAGTAGACTCATTCTAAAAATTGTTCAATCTGAAAACATTGTGGCCAATCAGCCCCAATTGCAACAAACAGAGGCAATGGGCAAAGTAGTGAATAACTAAGATTGTGTGACCACCCCGAGTCACAGGGAAGCTTGTAATACTGAGAAATCTGCACCATTAATTTGGAGGGATGGAAGATCCACTTAAGTACTTTTATATCACCCTAGATGCCCTTCATAGTCTATTCAAAGCATTAAAGGTGGTTTTATGGCAACCCCCAATTTGTGGCCCAGTTCTAGAAGCTATTTAGGGTACTTCATATCTACTTACCAGCAAAGACCATGCAGAGCATGGCGTTAACTGGATGGATGAAGGACCTCTGTTGTATCACCCACCGACAGAATAATTGATTCATCTACCTTACCACATTGGAGTTTGGTTATAAAGAGCTCATTGCATCCCTCTACCCAGAACATGCCCTTTCCCAGTAGCTGTGGCATGATTCTTTCCAAGCCCTGCCCCCTTCACCCCAGGTACCTTCCAAACCTTGGCAGCTTGGGGAAGTTATGGATTACCAAGAATATCTCCCAGCTTGCCAAAAATGGATGCAAGGTATATGCCAATTGGTGCTTGATTCCAAAGGAAGGTATCCAGGTGAGTGATACTGTCCAGCACACCTCCAAGCACACACTGACCATTCATATGGGAAGCCGAGACCCTGCTGCTTGGACACGTTGAGATGATAGAGAACATCATCTGCCTGTACCCTTGGCAATCAGCCTGAGGCCTCAGGAACAGACAGAGTTCCTAACTGTCACCTGAGCTCAGACCAATAATTATTCTCAGTCTAGCTCCCACTGGCCACTAGGAATATGCTTGTTCTTTCTCCTCAGTCTATTTCTATTTGTCCAAGGACATCCTGCCACCCCTACCTTGCCCAAATTCAAATACCAAGCTCAATAATACTGCTTCCAGGAAATGGCCTCATTGCTATAACCTGTAATGAAGTACAAATCAGCCCTGTGGTGCAGTGCAGGCTTCCAGAACTCTATATGCTAACCAAGGCTTCAGTGCTGTTGCTTCTCCAAGTCCTCAACTGTACAGGGAGGGGATTCAAGCTGTTCCCCACTCTAGTGGTACCATTATTTCAGATAGCGAATGTTAAAGGAGATTTAATTGGAGGGCAAACGAGAGAGACGAGGGACAGAGATGATGAATGAGTGAGGCCGAGGCAGGAAGAAAAGAAAAAAGCAGGAGCTGGGGAGGAACTCCAGAAGGGGCATCGCCACCCTCCACCAGAGATTAGTCAGCAATTCTCGACAATTTCCAAAGAGAATGGTAAACTGATCCAGTTCCTGACAGGCATCCATAATCACAAAACATAAAAATTTGAGGAATGGGATGACTTCTGCTCCAGGAATACAGAATGGAGTCACTGAAAATGTCAGATGCAGAGGTGGATTTTTTTTTCTTTTCCTTTTTTTTGGAGACGGAGTTTCACTCTTGTATCCCAGGCTGGAGTGTAGTGGCATCATCTTGGCTCACTGGAACCTCCACCTCCTGGATTCAAGCGATTCTCTTCCCTTAGCCACCGGGGTAGCTGGGACTACAGGCGTGCACCACTACTAATTTTTGTATTTTTCATAGAGGCGGGGTTTCACCATGTTGCCCAGGCTGGTCTCAAACTCCTGATCTCAGGTGATCCACCCACTTTGGCCTCCCAAAGTGCTGGGATTACAGGCATGAGCCACTGTGCCCAGCCAAGAGCTGGATTTTACTCTGCATTTGAGACTGGCTGGAGGAGATAGGGAAAAGGGCCTAGCGCCTTTTTTGGCTTGCGTGACAGAATGGTTGGAACAGCCAAGAGACAGAAATCTTGAAGCTACCCTAAACAGCTCTCCTTTTCTCACTCCCTCACCAAGTCTTGCTCTTCTGCATCTTAAATTTTTCTCAAACTCATCCTCCCTTGTTCAGGAGTCTGAGATGCAAGCCAAATCTAGCCTATTTAAGCAGAATATGAATGGATTTTTTAAAATTTTGGCTGGGTACAGTGGTTCACACCTGTAATCCCAGTACTTTGGGAGGTGGAGGCAGATGGATCATGAGGTCAGGAGTTCGAGACCAGCCTGGCCAATATGGTGAAATCCCGTCTCTACTAAAAATACAAAAATTAGCCAGGTGTGGTGGCACACGCCTGTAGTCCCAGTTACTTGGGAGGCTGAGGCAGGAGAATTGCTTGAACCCAGGAGGCAGAGGTTGCAGTGAGCCAAGATCGGGCCACTGCACTCCAGCCTGGGTGACAGAGTGAGACTCCGTCTAAAAGAAAGAAAAACTATATGTATGTGGAGCTGGATGCAGTGGCTCATATCTGTAGTCCCAGAACTTTGGGACGCTAAGGAGGGAAGATCGCTTGAGCCCAGGAGTTCAAGGCTTCAGTGAGCTACGATTACACCACTGTACTCCAGCCTGCACGGCAGAGGGAGACCCTCTTAAAATACATAAATAAATAAAAAGAGAAAGAAAATAAGAAAATATTGGGAAGCATATAAAAGCTGCAGTAGGAATGGAAAACTACACATGATGGACGGTAATCAGAAACAATGCTCAGAATCATGCCATAGACCTGATCTGGCACAGACACTACTGCATTCAATGCTGTAGTGGGCACTACTGGCACCAAGGATGCTGGGTCCTGAATACTGCTGCTGGAAACAGGATGCAGCTTCATTGCTGTCACCTCCTGTCACTAGCAGATAACTTTATATGGCCACTGCTTCCTTGCAACCTTTGATTCAAAATCTGAAGCAGATGTGTTTGATTGGCCTAGCCAAATTTCTTTGTCCATATCCTTGCTGAAAGAGAGGTTGAGTAAGGAAGAACTCATCTATTCAGCCTCTATTGTGAGATACAGGTTTTGCTTCATAGGGAGTGATTCCCAAACATAACGAAAGCTAGATAGCCACTACACTGCACTACCTTACCAGCCCCATCTCCTGTCCTTCTCCTCTTCACCCAGCACTCCAGGCTCCAAACCAAATAGCCCTCTGATGCCTCTCTAATGCTTCTAAACACTTGCCATTCTGCTGTCTGAAATGCTCTTCCTGATTCTACTGTAACCCACCTCCTTCTTTTCCTCCAAGACTTAGCTCAAACATAACTTCCGCTATTAGACCATTTGAAGTTCTGCAAATATGCCAATCCCAGGAAAGGAATGTCTACCCAGATAAGGGCCTTTTTCACTTGCACTAACCCTAAGTACGTGTCCAATATCCTGATTCCAGAAGTTGGCCGCTTAAAACCCAGGAGTCAGGCGGGAGCAAGAGAGTGGTAAGGGAGGTCTTGTGATCACTGCGTTCTCCCTCCCTCCCCTCTGTCACAGCCATGGTGATTGGATTCCTGAGAACTGGATGTGAATGGCTAGGAGAGATGCCTGCCATGCACCTGGTTAGCATGGAGACCAGGGAATCAGAGAATCAAATAGTCATTTGCCAAGTACTCAGAACAAGTCTACTCTCATTTCAGACCAGAAGGAATCAGAGCCTACTAGGCTTCCCCCCATTATCTCAAAAGATGGGAATTATTCCGTGCACCAGAATAGCCACACAAGATACCACGAAGCTGTCCGGAAGGTGTTGTTGAAGACATGTAAGTACCTTTGGGTGGGCATCATGCTAGGAGAAAAAAAGATATGTCTGAGTTCCTGAAGAATGGCTGGGATGAGGCTGGGTTTGATGGCTCATGTCGGTAATCCTAGCACTTTGGGAGGCCAAGGCGGGCAGATCACAAGGTCAGGAGTTCAAGACCAGCCTGGCCAACATAGTGAAACCCCATCTCTACTAAAAATACAAAAATTAGCCAGGCATGGTAGTGCGTGCCTGCAGTCTCAGGTACTCAAGAGGCTGAGGCAGGAGAATCACTTGAAGCCAGGAGTTGGAGGTTGCAGTGAGCCGAGATCGTGCCACTACACTCTAGCTTGGGCAACAGAGTGGTGAGACTTCGTCTCAAAAAATAATAATAATAAAAAAGAATGGCTAGGATGTGGTTGGGTATGGTTATCTGGCAGGAAGAAAAAAAAAAGAGCCAAGAGGAGAGAGACTGAGAGGAAGAGGGAGAAAGTAGACTTGGTGGGATAAGCATGATAAAATAAATTTTTTTTTTTTTTGAGGCAGAGTCTTGCTCTGTCACCCAGGCTGGAGTGCAGTGGCGCCATCTCAGCTCACTGCAACCTCTGTCTCCCAGGTTCAAGTGATTCTCTTGCCTCAGCCTCCCGAGTAGCTGAGATTACAGGTGTCTGCCGCCATACCCAGCTAATTTTTGTATTTTTAGTAGTGACGGGGTTTCACCATGTTGTCCAGGTTGGTCTCAAACGCCTGACCTCAGATGATCCACCCATTTGGGCCTCCCAAAGTGCCGGGATTACAGGCGTGAGCCACCATGCCCATCAATAAAATGAAATTTGAATTAGACTTAGAAGCAGAAGATCCAGCCGGGCGCGGTGGCTCAAGTCTGTAATCCCAGTACTTTGGGAGGCCGAGACGGGCGGATCACGAGGTCAGGAGATCAAGACCATCCTGGCTAACACAGGGAAACCCCGTCTCTACTAAAAAAATACAAAAAACTAGCCGGGCAAGATGGTGGGCGCCTGTAGTCCCAGCTACTCGGGAAGCAGAGGCAGGAGAATGGTGTAAACCCGGGAGGCGGAGCTTGCAGTGAGCTGAGATCCGGCCACTGCACTCCAGCCTGGGCAACAGAGGGAGACTCCATCTCAAAAAAAAAAAAAAAGAAGCAGAAGATCCATGTTTGAGTCCTAGTTCTGCCTCTTTTTTGATGTCTCACCTTTTCTTTTCTTGGAAACAGGATCTCATTCTGTCACCCAGGCTGGAGTGCAGTGGCACAATCATAGCTCACTGCAGCCTCGAACTCCTAGGCTCAAGTGATCTTCTTGCCTCAGCCTCCTGAGTAGCTGGGACTACAGGCATGCACCACCAAGCTTGGCTAATTTTTTAAAACCATTTTTGTAGAGAGGGAGTCATGCTATGTTGTCCAGGCTGGCATCAAACTCCCAGGCTCAAGTGATCCTCCTACCTTGGCCTCCCACAGTGCTGGGATTACAGGTGTGAGCCACCACACCCAGCCCATTTACCCTTTATTGACCTACTCCTTCATTGGTTTTGCTGCTGTTGTTGTTTTGAGGCAGATTCTCACTCTATCGTCCAGGCTGTAGTGCAGTGGTGCAATCTTGGCTCACTGCAAACTCCACCTCCCTTGTTCAAGTTATTCTTGTGCCTTAGCCTCCCGAGTAGCTGGATCTACAGGAGTGCGCCACCACGCCTGGCTAATTTTTGCATTTTTAGTAGAGATGGGTTTTCACCATGTTGGCCAGGCTGGTCTCAAACTCCTGATCTCAGGTGATCCATCTCCCTCGGCCTCCCAAAGTACTGGGATTACAGGCGTGAGCCACCACTTCGGGCCCCTCATTGGTTTAAAGGCAGGATGTTGAGGAGAGAAAATGCCTGATCTATTGTTTTACTAATCTTTCAAAATTGTTGGGAGAAAAAAAGTAAAAATGAAACCATTGTATATTATCATGCATTATCCCTTTGAGGAATAGTAAGCACCAGCTTTGGCATTTTATTGAACCAGGTTCAAACTGCAAACGAATTCTGTGACTTTAGGCAAGTTCCTTTAACCACAATCTCTCTGAACCATCTGGAAATCGGAATAATACTTTTTAGCACTATTGTGAAGAGAGAACATGTACATTTTTAAAAGCATGTAGCCAGCCTGGGCAACATGGTGAAATCCCATCTATAAAACATACAGCCAGGCACGGTGGCTCATGCCTGTAATCCCAGCACTTTAGGAAGACGAAGCGGGCGGATCACTTGAGGTCAGAAGTTCGAGACCAGTCTGTCCAATGTGGCGAAACCCCGTCTCAACTAAAAATACAAAAAAAATGTTAGCTGGGCATAGTGGCAGGCACCTGTAATCCCAGATACTTGGTAGGCTGAGGCAGGAGAATCACTTGAACCCAAGAGGCAGAGGTTGCAGTGAGCCAAGATGGTGCCATTGCCCTCCAACCTGGATGACACAGTGAGACTCCGTCTCAAAAAAAAAAAAAAAAAATTCGCGGGGCGTGGTGGTGCTCGCCTGTAGTCCCAGCTATTCAGGAGGCTGAGGTGGGAGAATCACTTAAGCCTGGCAGGTCAAGGCTGCCATGAGTTGTGATAGCGCTACTGCACTCCAGCCTGGGTGACAGAGCAAGACCCTGTCTCAAAAAAAAAAAAAAAAAACCAAAAACTAGAAAGCATGTAGGACATCAAAACATGATGTAGGCTGATAAAAAATAAAAATAAAAATAAACATCACATAGTGTATGATGCCATTTATATAAAATCTTTTTTTTTTTTTTTTTTTTTTTAAAGACAGGGTCTCACTCTGTTGCCCAGGCTGAGTACAATGGGGCAATTATAGCTCACTACAGTCTCAAACTCCTGGGCTCAAGTGATCCTCCCACCTCAGCCTCCCGAGTAGCTGAGACTACAGGCGTGTGCCACTATGCCAGTTTTGTTCTTTTTCTTTTTTTTTTTTTAGACACAAGGTCTGGCTATTTTGCCCAGGCTGGTCTTGAACTCCCGGGCACTCCCAGGCACAGCAGTCCTCCCGCCTCAGCCCCACAAAGTGCTGGAATTATAGGTGTGAGCCACCACACCAGGCCTTACAACATTCTTATATGACATTCTTATATAACATTCTTATATAACACTCTTATAACATTCTTTTTTTTTTGAGACGGAATCTTGCTCTGTCACCCAGGCTGGAGTGCAATGGCACGATCTCGGGTCACTGCAACCTCTGCCCTCTTGGTTCAAGCGATTCTCCTGTCTCAGTATTCTGAGTAGCTGGAATTACAGGCACCCGCCACCAAGCCCGGGTAATTTTTGTATTTTTAGTAGAGACGGGGTTTCACAATATTGGTCAGGCTGGTCTTGAATTCCTGACCTCAGGTGATCCACCTGCCTCGGCCTCCCAAAGTGCTGGGATTACAGGCGTGAGCCACCGCATCTGGCTCTTATAACATTCTTAAAATGACAAGATTACAGAAATGAAGAAGAGATCACTGATTTCCAAAGCGGGACAGTGGGAGAGGGTGGTTATAAAATGCCAGCTCCAGGATGGGTGGTGATGGAACTATTCTGTATCAATGTATTCAATATATTAATATCATGTTGTGGTAGTGTACTATAGTTTTGTAAGCTGTAACCATTGTGGGGAAGAGTAAAGGGTACACATGATTTCCCTGTTTTTGTTTTTTTTTTAAAATAGAGACAGGGTCTTGCTATGTTGCCCAGGCTGATCTTGAACTCCTGGGCTCAAGTGATTCTCCCAAAGTGCTGGGATTACAGGCATGAGCCATTGCACCTGGTTTCCCCGTACTATTCGTTACAACTGTATGTGAACCTATAATTATAACAAAATTAAAGTTTAAAACCTAAAATACTTTCAGAAATCAAAACAGGCACATGTGGAAAGAGGGGTAATAAGTTATTTCCAACAGCAAAACTTTAATATTTTTCCATTTTAATTTTTTTGAGACAGAATCTTGCTCTGTTGCCCAGGCTGGAATGCAGTGGCACAATCACGGCTCACTGCAGCCTCAACAACCTCCCAGGCTCAAACGAACCTTCCCACCTCAGCCTCCTGAGTAGCTGGTTTTACAGGTGTGCACCATCCCACTGGACTAATTTTTGTATTTTTTGTAGAAATGGGGTTTCAACACGTTGCCTGGTCTGGTCTGGAAGTCCTGGGCTCGAGTGATCCATCTGCCTCTTAAAGTGCTGGGATGGCCAGGAGCGGTGGCTCACGGCGGTGGCTCACGCCTATAATCCCAGCACTTTGGGAGGCTGAGGGGGGCGGATCACGAGGTCAGGAGATGGAGACTATCCTGGCGAACACGGTGAAACCCTGTCTCTACTGAAAATACAAAAAAATTAGCCAGGTGTGGTAGCAGGCCCTGTAGTCCCAGCTACTCGGGAGGCCGAGGCAGGAGAATGGCGTTAACCCGGGAGGCGGCGGAGCTTGCAGTGAGCGGAGATCGCGCCACTGAGCTCCAGCCTGGGCGACAGAGCAAGACTCCGTCTCAAAAAAAATAAAAAAATAAAAAATAAATAAAGTGCTGGGATTACAGGTGAGCCACTGCACGTGGCCTCTAATAGCAAAACTTAATAGCTTACTATTAATTAATAGGAAAATAAGCCAAAAAATGTAACATCTACTCAATGAATTATTAGAGATTTAAAAAAAATTATTATAAACACTGTATAGCAATCCAGAATATTAGGCTATAATTCTAAGTTTTAAAAATAAACAAATTTTATACTGGTAGAATTAGACTTATCCAAATAAATAGTAAAAGTACTTTTTTTTCTCTTTCTTTTTCTTTTTTTTTTTTGAGACAGAGTCTCGCTCTGTCACCCTGGCTGGAGTGCAGTGGCACGATCTCAGCTCACTGCAACCTCCGTCTCTCAGGTGTAAGCAATTCTCCTGCCTCAGCCTGCCAAGTAGCTGGGATTACAGGCACCCACCACGATGCCCTGCTAATTTTTGTATTTTTGGTAGAGATGGGGTTTCACCACGTTGGCCAGGCTGGTCTCAAACTCCTGACCTCAAGTGATCCACCTGCCACGGCCTCCAAAAGTGCTGGGATTACAGGCATGAGCCACCTCACCCAGCCAAAAGTACTTTTTTTTTTTTTTTTTTTTTGAGACAGAGTTTTGCTCTTATTGCCCCAGTTGGAGTGCAATGGCGCAATCTTGGCTCACCGCAACCTCTGCCTCCTAGGTTCAAGTGATTCTCCTGCCTCAGCCTCCCGAGTAGCTGGGATTACAGGCATGTACCACCACGCACGACTAATTTTTTTTTTTTTTTAAGTAGAGACGGGGTTTCTCCATGTTGGTCAGGTTGGTCTCGAACTCCCGACCTCAGGTGATCTGCCTGCCTCGGCCTCCCAAAGTGCTCAGATTACAGGTGTGAGCCACCATGCCCAGCCCAAAGTACTTTTTCAGACAGCATCAGAGTCTGATATTATTACAAAAATTTAAGAATATTTAATACTACATCTAGAACATAATAGACACTAGATAAATGACATCTATTAACAGCATCTAAACATGAGGTAGTATTAGTTAGGTTTCAGAGAATTACTTGGAGTGAGCAAAGGAAGCCATTTTTTCCAAGAGGAGGGAAGAGAATGAGGATGATTAAGCCAAGAAAAAAGAAAAATAATAGATCAGTGGACCCCATCTTACACATTTCCCTCGTGGGTTGACCACCTGTTTTTCTACCATCTTAGCACTTGGGGAAAACTCTCTTGGAGATGGGCTTACTAGCAGCAGGAAGAAGCAAGACTGATTCATTTGACCATGAAGGATGTGAGATGCTGGAATCCGGAAGTGAAGCAGGGTGTGGTAACCACACTCTCAGGACCTCTCAGCACCTGGTCAGGCCGAGCAGTTGCTGGGCTGGGCTGGGCTATTGCTGCCCTGAGGCAGAAAAGTGAGCCGAGAACTTGAAGGAATTAGATAACCTGCCCTTCCCCTCACCCATTCAGTTCCCAATCAGGTCTTCAGAATCCCCTTGACTGATGCTCAGAACTTCAGCTTCTGGCAGTCCCATGATCCAGGAGTGCGTCCAGAGGAAACCATGCCATGGATCCGGAGCCCACGCCACTGTCTCATAAAAAGCGCGATGACCAGGTTAGGCTGGGAGGGGCATAAGGGTGGGGAGGTCAAAGACAGTACTCCTTCCCTTTACTTCGGTCTTAGAGACTATTTCATCTCTGGTCAGTTAGGGAATTAGGAGAGATTTGAGTCTTACCAGAGAAAACTGGCCCCAGAATTTGGGCCATGATGGCATTAAAAGGAGTTAAAGATTTGTCTGTGTCTTTGTGTTCCTCTTTGTGGGTGTGACTTCTGAGCTGGTGCAAAACAAGTGTCCATAGTATTCCTGTGGCAGTCCAATGCTGCTTTCATCGCTACCTCTCCACCTCTCAAATCACCATCCATTGGCAGTAGCCCCACTTTTTCATCACTACCCCTACTCATTCTGCCCTGAGACGGTTTGGGGAGCTATTTATTTATTTATTTATTTATTTATTTACTGATAGAGACGGAGTCTAGCTCTCACCCAGGCTGGAGTGCAGTGGCGCGATCTCAGCTCACTGCATCCTCTGCCGCCCAGGTTCAAGCAATTCTCCTGAATCAGCTCCTGAGTAGCTGGGATTATAGGCACCCACCACCGCGACCGGCTAATTTTTGTATTTTTAGTAGAGACGAGGTTTCACCATCTCAGCCAGGCTGGTCTTGAACTCCTAACCTTGTGATCCACCTGCCAGGGCCTCCCAAAGTGGTGTGAGCCACTGCGCCCAGCCTCTTAGGAGCTATTTTTAAGGATCTCCTGCTTTCCAGCCTGGCCTGGCTGAATCTCTCTCTGAATCTCTTCTTTCCAGGTTCATGGATCACTCTATTCTCAATGACAGAATCTTCAGTCTGTATTAAGAAGATATGGCTGCAGAAAGACAAGAGGAATTGTGGCAAGAGTGCAAAGGGGGGGAAAGAAGGAGGTTTCCCAGTTCCGATGGCTAACTAATGGGAGGAGGATATGGAGAAAGCAGAGTAAACAGATTGGACTAAAAGTTGCTTGTGTGCACGGCGGGAGCTGTGGGGTCAGGGTGGGAGTGATTCCAGTGTCCAGGTTGTTGTGAGAGCTGGTGTGTGGGAGATTCCTGAATGAGCCAGACCTTAGAGTGAGAAGTCTGTGAGGGGCCAAGGCACTGGAAAGCACCACAGGCCTCATGCGTGGCAGGGGTCACACACAAATCTGGGAAGGCATATACTGGAGCTCATGATGCTGAAAGGCCTTGAGTAGTCACACTCTCTGAAGTTACTACAGCTTCTCCTTAGCAGGGAAAAGCCACAGGAAGTCCTCTGACCACAGATGAGAGGCCCACAGAGCCCTGGGGCAGGAGGTCGCCCCCTACACCAGGCTCTGTCACTTCTGACCCACCCAGGGCCCAGAACAGCTACAGAGAACAGGGAATTTTACAAAGAGTTTGATTTTATTGATATTTAAATATATTAAATATTTCACTGAAATACATGGTACACCATCCTCCCTCACCCCCACAGTGGTTACATTACAAAACCAAAGCCCATGGCCTCCCATCTCCTGACTCCTCCACCAACTGGGTGAGGAAAGGGGCAATGGTTGCCCAGGGGAAGGGCATGGCTGGCACTGTGGTACGGGGAGCCAGGGTGTGGACAGGCCCTCCCACCTGGCAAAAAGCAGAGACAAGCCACCCAAGGCTGAGGTCTTCCCACTCTGATCTACTTATACCCTCACCCCTACCCCATGGCACCAAGTAGTCTCTTCCTATCCCTTCCTATCCAGGGCTATGGCTGGGGGCAGGGGAGTAGACTTTCTGTCTGGAAAAACAAGTCTTTTCCCCTCCTTCTGCCATGACTAATGAAGTACCTGATGGCCCATTTGGTTGATGCATGAAGATGCCCAAGGGAGGCAGTACCCAGAAACCAGGCCTCCACAGGGAGCTGGTGTCAGAGGGGCATGAGGAGGGGCAAGTGCACTGCCTGCCCCTTCCACTCCCAAACCCAGTAACTCTGGAAACCCTTCTCCTCTGCCTCTCTAGTCACTTCCAAGACAAAGTGATCTTCAAGCAAAATTCAGGCTAGTGCCTTTGGCTTAAATAGGTACAGACAGAGAAACTGAGGGACCAACAAATTCAGGCCACAGTCAAAGAGGTTGCAGGGAAAGGGGTAAAAGGAAGGCAAAGATAGGAAGGGAATCTAGAGTTCAACCTCCTAACCCTTCTGCCAGCCCCCAAGGTTTCACAAGGGGCTGGGGAGCCAGAAACATGCTAGACTCAGGCTGAAGGCTGGAGAAAGCCAAGTTTAAGGTTCCTCTTCCCCACCCAATAGTACCAGTATCCGGGTCCTCAGAGGGATTCCATGCTACCCCAGCCCCAAAGCATACCATGTCCCAGGACACTATCTGGGGAAGCCAGGAAATTCCTGAGCCTCTGTCCATCAAACCCCAGACAGTTCAAGTGCTAGCATGGAGCACTGGGGCTCAAGCAAGCGCTTGGGTCCCTGCCACAGACAGGGAGAGTCATGCTGCACACATGGCCCCCAAACGGCACTTAGGGATTTGGCACAAAAAGGACTCCTCTCCCTCCTTTTGCTACCACACCCCATCCCACTCCTGTGTAATCTGGGCGTCTCTCTACATCCCCTGAAATAGGAAACCCTGCTTTATTCCCAGAAGACAGAGGCCCACAGGAGAGACGCAACCTGGGGTGGAGAGCTGAGGAGCAGGAGCACAAGGACTCACAGACCTGGAAAACAGATATGCACACAAAGACCAACATGCACACACAGTTACACAAACACACAGGCCCTCCCCAACGCCAGAGACTTGGGAGGGCAGGTTTGGGATCAGGGTCATCTTTCTCCATGCCCTGACCCTTTTCTATTTGGCAACAGAAGAGGGAGAGATGCTCCATGCCCCCTTGCCAGTAGACAGCAAGAGAGCACTGGGGCAGAGTGACCTGATCTGGACCCCATCGGGGTCCTCAGATCAGAGTCTGGCACCGCCCCAGCCCTGGCCTGCCTGCTCTTTGGCACCTGCAGGTGAACTTCCAGCTCCTGACCTGATATCCCCACACACAGGCTTGCTCTCTGAGCATTTTCACAGTACCAGTGAGGCCAGACGCCCCGTTCCCTGGAGCGTGCAGGAACTGGGGCTAAATCTAAGCTGTTAGAGGTCCCTTTGTTCCCCTTTGGGGACAGATTGTGGGACTAGAATTTGGCACATGGAAACATTCTCCTGAAATATGGCCAAAGCTGGCTCCCCAGAGCATCTCCCTCCTCTGCTCTGTGCCTAGGAGGGACACCTGGCTGAGGTGGGGAAGTGCCCAGGACCAGTGCTGGGGACGCAGGTATTGCAAAGGCAAGCATGGAATAGGCACTCCTCATGCCTGTCTTTGTACAAAATATTGTACAAAATATTCCCAGGAAAAAAGAGGGAAAAGAAGGGCCCAGCCCTGAATCTGCTGCCCAGACAGACAGGGAAGGGTAGGCATGGCAAGCTGCCATTTTAATCCCTCAGGCAAGAGGCCTCCCTCTGCTTCTGCTACTGACCCCTCCCCTGCTCCCAAAAGCTGGAAGATTGGAGAGGGAACAGCCCTACCCCAAGTAAGAAAGAAAGTCACTTGCATAATCCTCTTGGTAGGTAGCCCCTTGTTTTCCAGCTTGAGGGTAGACAATCATGATCCAAGCACAGCCTGCTGGGATGTTCCCTTTTGTGGTTAGCAGGGTCTGGAGGCTCAGTGCCCCCTGCCATAGCTCCACCCAGCGAGCACAGAGTCCACTCAATGCCCACCTTGATCCCTTCAGCTGAATTTGTGGCTGGGGTCCTGCTAACTGCTGGGGCCCCCATTGAGGAAGTAGGTGGTCATCTCCCCCTTGCCCTTCACCTTGACCACCCCTCGACACTCCAGCTGGTAGCCCTTGGCAGCTAGAACCTGGTACAGGTCCGTGGTCACCTGGGGGAGTGGGAGGGGAGCCCGCTTAGCCTGGAATCCTTCCTGCTGCATTTGCAGGGGCCCAGGGGTTCTCTAGTCAGGCTAGCTCCCTTCCCCCAACCCCCACCCCACCATACACAGAACACTAGCCACCCTACCCCTGTCCTAGCAGACTGCAGAGACACCATGGAAGCCCTCTGGGCCCACCTTCCTCCCAGCCCCTGCTCATATTCCCCTCACCTGGATTCGGTCGGGGACCCCCGTGCTGTCCATACGACTAGAGACATTCACTGTGTTCCCCCAGATGTCATACTGCGGCTTCCGAGCCCCGATGACACCTGCCACGACTGGGCCCATGTTCAGCCCTGAGGTGGGGAGAACAGCAAGAGACTAGTGCATGCTCCAGGCTAAACCCAGGGAGTCATCCCACCTCCTGGAACAGGTAGAAGGACCCAGAGAAAAAAATGGAAAAAGGACAAGTCTCCTGGTTGTAAAGAACGATCTAGTTCAAGACCAGCCTGGCCAACATGGTGAAACCCCATCTCTACAAAAAAACACAAAAATTAGCTGTGCATGGTGGTACACGCCTGTAGTCCCAGCTACTGAGGAGGCTGAGGTGGGAGAAAAGATTGATTGATTGAGCCTGGGAGTTGATGCTGCAGGGAGCTGTGATTGTGCCACAGCACTCTAGCCTGGTGACAGAGCAAATCCCCATCTCAAAAAAAAAACCCAAAACAACAAACAAAAACACCCGAAGACCTGAGCACCTCAGTTTAGGAGCTCCCCTGAGTCAAGGCAGCCATGCTATAACAGTAATCTCCTGAATGCCTGTTCCATGTCAACCACTCTAGTAAGCATTTTACATGGTTTTATCCTTTCTTTTTTTTCTTTTTGAGATGGAGTCTTGCTCTGTTGCCCAGGATGGAGTACAGTGGCACAATCTCGGCTCACCGCAACCTCTGCCTCCCAGAATCAAGAGATTCTCCTGCCTCAGCCTCCTGAGTAGCTGGGATTACAGACACGTACCACCACACCCAGCTAATTTGTTTGTTTGTTTGTTTTTTGAGATGGAGTCTCGCTCTGTCACCCAGGCTAGAGTATAATGCCGCGATCTCGGCTCACTGCAAGCTCTGCCTCCCAGGTTCACGCCATTCTTCTGTCTCAGCCTCCCAAGTAGCTGGGACTGCAGGCGCCCGCCACCATGCCCGGATAATTTTTTGTATTTTTAGTAGAGACGGGGGTTTCACCATGTTAGCCAGGATGGTCTTGATCTCCTGACCTTATGATCCGCCCACCTTGGTCTTCCAAAGTGCTGGGATTACAGGTGTGAGCCACCGCGCCTGGCCATATTTTTTTGTTTTTAGTAGAGACAGGGTTTCACTATGTTGGCCAAGCTAGTCTTGAACTCCTGACCTCATGAAGCCTGCCTGGCTTCATCCTTTTATTTTTATTTTTATTTTTTTTGAGATGGAGTCTGGCTCTGTCTCCCAGGCTGGAGTGCAGTGGCCGGATCTCAGCTCACTGCAAGCTCCGCCTCCCGGGTTTACGCCATTCTCCTGCCTCAGCCTCCTGAGTAGCTGGGACTACAGGCACCCGCCATCTCGCCCGGCTAGTTTTCTGTATTTTTTCAGTAGAGACGGGGTTTCACCGTGTTAGCCAGGATGGTCTCGATCTCCTGACCTAGTGATCCGCCCGTCTCGGCCTCCCAAAGTGCTGGGATTACAGGCTTGAGCCACCGCGCCCGGCCCATCCTTTTAATACCTCTAAAAGGTAGGTATTTTTATCCCCATTTTATAGATAAGGTAACTGAAGCTTAGAGAAGTTAGAAGACTTCTCAAATAAGCCAGTAAATGGAGCAGCCAGAATTCAAACCAGATAGTCTGACTCCCATCCACCAGTTCATTTGAGAGGAAGTACCTCTTATCGGACTGGTCACATATAAGGACAGAAGTATTCAAGTTTAGATAAACGTGATTTTTAATCCCAGCTCTGCCACTTACTAGTTATTTGACCTTGGGCAAGTTATTTAATCTGAGAGTCAGTCTCTATCCAATGAAAGGGGATAATAATATCAGTATTAAAGTATGCTCAAAAATTTCTAGGACAGTGCCTAATGATCTCTGTTCTTAATATCAGACTTGATATAGGAGGTCAGAGGGAAGAAAACCCCACAGGAGCCCTGATGGGAAATCTGTGATCCCATCCCCAGCCTATAATCCCAGCTTCAACCAGAAACAGTCCTGGGAAAACCTGCCAAGCAACCAAGCCCTCTTACCAATCTTCATCTGGAAATTGTTGAAGGAGTGCTCATTGATGTGCTTCATCTGCTCCATGAGCCGCATGGCATAGTCAGCCAGGGCAGTGATGTGGGAGCGGCCCACCTGATCGTAGGTGCTGGCGTTCAGCCCTGAGGCAGCCATGTAGGTGCTACCAATTGTCTTGATCTTTTCCAGCTGCCGGAACCGCTCCTCGCTGATGATCTGAACAACACAAGGGGACCTGGCTGTCAAGGCAAATACCCCAAACCCAGCCCTGCCCCAACACTCATTTCTTGCCACGCCTTGCCTCCCTTGCCCACTTTCCTGTCTCAAGAGCCCCCTTCCAGCTGCTGCTACCAGTGTAAGACTGACAAGCTGGGAAAACAAGCCCCCTAGGACTCCAGGCAGGACTTGGGCATACAGCTTAAGAAGGTCTCTCCCGTAGCTCACTCACAGAACACAGACACACAGGTGGGATATTAAGCAATTTCTCCAATCCTCACCTTCTGGGATACTGAGTCCCAGGGTGAGCAAGTGACCTCCCTCCAGAACAGTGAACAGCCCATTCCTGACCTGGATGTTCAGGACACTACCTCACATTTTGCTTCAATTTTCTCTATTCAGAGGACCATCTTGCTTGGTTGGTCTCATGAGGTTCTGTCCACAGACCATTGCCTTCTTCTTCAGTGACATCCACCTGGTACCTATCTTATCCCCCTACAGATCAAGTCCTCCCCTGCTCCCCAACAATGATGACCCTGCCCCACTAGGGCTGACCCCCTTGATGCCTTTGACACCTTCATGGGTTCTTTTTTTTTTTTTTTTTTTTTGAGACGGAGTCTCACTCTGTTGCCCAGGCTGGAGTGCAGTGGTGCGATCTCGACTCACTGCAAGCTCCACCTCCCGGGTTCATGCCATTCTCCTGCCTCAGCCTCCCGAGTAGCTGGGACTACAGGCGCCCGCACCACGCCCGGCTAATTTTTTGTATTTTTAGTAGAGCTGGGGTTTCACCGTGTTAGCCAAGATGGTCTCGATCTCCTGACCTCATAATCCGCCCACCTCGGCCTCCTAAAGTGCCGGGATTACAGGCGTGAGCCACCGCGCCTGGCCCCTTCATGGGTTCTTACCTCTACCTCCACTATGCCTGCCCTTACCCCTACCCCTGATGCCTCTGAGTCCCATCAAATCTCTCTTTCTCTTCCCAGTGCCACTCGTCCCTTCCAATCCCTGGTCTCCAAGTCCCCCCAATTCTCTGCCAGCACCAGCCAACTGGACAAGTACCTCATCAAAGTCAGCGATGATCTCGTTGAGCAGCCGCAGGCACTCGACACCCTCATTGTTTGCCTCCAGCTCCACATAGAACTCAGAGAAGTTGGCAATGGAGGCAAACATAACAGCCACACACTCACACGACTGATAGTAGAGTTCATCATTGCGGCGCTCCCGGGCCAGGAAGTGGGCGGCCACGTCCTTGGGCAGAATGTTATGCAGCAGCCTCCGGTTGTATGCCTGTAGCTCCTCCATCTCCTCCTTCTCCCCTGTTGCCTGTGGACACCACACCCATCACCCATTGCCTGACATTCACAAGGGGTGGGTGTGGTGGCCAAGGCTTGGAAGTGGGAGTCAGAGGGAATCACACAGAGGCAGAAAGGCATGGACAGATGAGGCCTAAAGAACAGGCAAAGGGGTAAAGGGGGCAGGTACAGGATGGGGCAAGGAGTAAGGGATGGGCACAGAGAAGGCATGGAACCAGGGTGGGCCTAGGGGCGGCCTGAGGCTTAGCCAGCTAGCAGGAGATACGTTTCTTCCCTGGCCCAGGCTCCACCCTTAGGTTCCTCCTCTTCCCCCAAAGGCCCACCCGGTCACCTGTAGTTTCCAGAGGAAGTCTAGGCGGGCAGTCGACTCCACCTGCTGAGCATGCAGATACAGCGCCAGCGCAAACACCAGCAGAATCACAGGGGTCATATATTTGAGGGCCACCCTCCCTGCAGCTGGACTAAGGATAAGCAGAGACATGCTTGGTGTCTGAAGGAGGCATCTAATGGCCCTACCCTTTGCTGCCTCGGAGCCCTCACTTACCAGTCCAGCCCATCAAAGGTCTCATTGGAAGAAGCCCTGGCAAGAGGAGAGAAGAGACAAAGTCATCAGTGCTTCCTGGGTTGCTGGGTGGGCACATGGAAGGGGAGATACAGACTGCATTTACTAAGCACATACTAGAAATCGGGCATTGGGCCAGGGCTTTTACTTACATTAATTAACTCATTAAAAGTAGAGGTTAAGAAAACCTCTACTCTTACAGACTCCTCTACTTACCAGCTATGTGACCTGAGACAAGTCGCTTAACTCTCTACGCCTCCTTCCCCATCAGTACAGCAGGGATCAGATTTAAATAATGTATGTAAAAGGCTTAGCACAGTTCCTGCCATATAGTAAGCCTTCCATAAATGTCAGTTACTATAATCTTTACAACGACTCTGTGATTTAGGTGACAGTGTCATTTTACAGATGAGGAAATTGAGGCTCAGAGAAGCTAACTCACCTGTCTAAGGTCACACAGCTAATGAGCAGCAGAGCAGGGATTCAAACCCAGAAGACACCAGAGGCTTTTTCTACTACAACAAGCCACGGCCACATATCAAAGGAATGGGGTTTTGCAGAGGAAAAGCCAGTATGATGTGCCAGGCAAAGCCCCCAAGCAGGAGTCAGAAGCTTTGGTTCCTAGCCAGAGCCCTGCCACCAAGCAGCTGTATGTCCTATGGGTGGTTAAGATGGTGGATGTGAAAGCACCATGCAAATACAAGAGGGAATTTTTTTTTTTTTTTTTTTTTTTAATGTCTAGCCTAAAGACACAAGGATTTCCCAGGACTGGGGTTTCCTTGGGGTAACTATTTGGGGTCACATGCTGGGAACTCCTCCATCTCCTCCCTTTCCCCCACAGGGGAGTTGTGGCATTCCAAGAGCACAAGGGGCCTGGGCACCAGAGGCTCACAGTGACCCAGCAAGGTCAGGGAAGCTCCTGGGGTATTAAAGGACCTGAGAATAAACTCACAAGCCATGGACGCCAAGCAGTAGGTCATAGTTGTCAAAGATGGTGGCTGGGGGACCCAGCAGAAGCAGCACCAAATAGATGAGCCCCAAGACAAAGACCATGGCCAACTTCCCGATGCTGCTGATGTGCAGGAAGACAGAGCTGGCCAAGAGACTCAGCAGCACGCTCCCGATGAAGTACTGCGGGGGGCAGAGGCAGCACTGGGTGAAGGCAGAGGCCACAGCACCCTTGGGCAGGGAGAGCCCTGCACTCTCCTGCCTGACCTAACCTTTCTGCCATACCCCTCAAACCCCCATATCCTCCACCTTCCATGTCCAGCCCCTACACCACACCAGGGCCCCTGGTTGCTCCTAGTGTGGGAGACTCTGGTGAGTTCCTGGGTCCCCAGCGCCCATCACTAGGTCTGGCACAGAAGGGCCGATGTCTGTGCCAGGACAGCCCCCCCCCACCGCCTGAGCACTGCTTGAACACCTCAGGGAAGCTGCAGGTGGGCGTGGTGCCCTCACACAGGGGAGCATCCAGGCCCAGAGAGTAATTGAGCTGCTGCAGGTGGCAGGCAGTGATGTCAGCAGGTGTTAAATTCAGCATCCGGGCTGCACAGGTCCGCATAGGGGTGTGATTACAGGTGAACTGCAAAAGTAGAGGGGTGTATCAGGATAGCCAAGGAGGGGAAGGGTTTCTAGGTACCTGGTGAAGCCATGTACCCTGCCCTGGGCTATGCCCAGGTACCTTATACCCCATGGGCCTTAGTACTCACTCAGGGATGACAAGAGGTTGGGAGAACAAGGAGGGAGAACTGGAGTTAACCTTGCCCTATTCTGGGAGGGGGCTCCCTGAGGGCAGAAAATATGTCCTATTCCCCTCTGTACCCCCAGTGTCCAGGACAGTGCTTGGCACAGAGTGGAGGTAGGAGAATTCCCACTGGACCCTTACCATGTTGGCAATGGCAGAAGTAAAGACAAGCAGGACGGAAAAGATGCCAACTGCGGTGCTATGTGCCCGTGAGCGAACGATGCTGCGGGACAGACGTTGCAGGGCCTTAGGGAACAGCTAGAGGAATCAAGAGACGAAGAGTTGAAGGTTGTATCAGCCAAGGAGGAAGGCCAACCAGGGATGGGGCCCAGTGGAACAGGCATGGCCTTCTCCTCCCTCTCCCCATGTGACCTCCTCCCTGTCTGGAGTCCAGCCTGCCCTCCCAACAGCCTCAGAAGTCCCCCTACGTACAGAACCACAGGAGTACACGGCACAGATCAGCACGGTGACCAGCAGCAGCAGGAAGATGCTGGCATAGATCCCAAGCATCAGGATGGAGCTGGGGCAGAACAGGGCCAGAAAAATCATTTAATTCTGGAAGATCTGGGCATTCTTGTCCCACCCTCTGGAACAAGCAGGGATGCAGGCTCCAGGAATTGTGGGCCCGTGTGGGTATGTAGGAAGCTTCTGGGAAGCGGTGGAGAAGAGAGAAGCTAAGAGAGGAAGGGCAGGACTCTCACTGTGGGAAGATGAGAAGCTGGATGAAGCAGATGAAGCAGAAGACCAACAGGGCACAGGCAACGTAGGCTCCGAAGCGGGGATCCACCTTCCGGGAGTACTGAAGGAGAGGAGGCTGAGCTGGGTGCTGGGCCCTCCCTAAGGAAGGCAGGGACAGCAAGGACAGGGCACTACTAGGCGTCTCAACAGGGAGGAGATGCAGTTGGCCCAACTGACGAAATCCCCACCCTGCTCTGTGGTCCCTTCTCCATCCCCCAGAAACACCTGTGCCCTCACCTGTGCTCAGCCTTCCCTGCCGCGACCTGCCCCTCCCCCAGCCCTTGTCCTTCTGCCCTGTATCCCTGAAACCTTCTTCTCAAGATCCTCTCTCTGGAAGGTGAGCAGAAACCGGCGCACATGGTCCTTCCGCAGCTGATCAATGCTGCGGGCATCGATGGCACGGCTCAGGAACTCATCCACCTCATCCTCAGGGTTCAGGGCATCTTGGGTGCCCCGGCTGAGGGCAGGAGACATGGCTTCACCACATGCATGGGCATGGCCACGTGAGAAACAATGAAAGGAAAGGTATGGGCAGCACCCAAGGGAGGGAGGGAGAGCTGGGGTGTGGCTCCTGCTCACATACGACACACCTAAAGTCAGGGAAAAGGAGGATTTTCGCTCCCCCCAGCCCCATCCCAGGGTGCAAGTACCTTCTCCCTCAATAACCTGACTTACTTGTCTTTGCTGGAATCATCAATGCCCTGGAGAAAGGGACAGAGTGTGGAGTGAGGTGAAAGGCCAACAACCTTCATCTCTGCAGCCCCTTCTCCCACCCCAACACTGTGCTGAGGGTGTCCCCACCATATCTTCTGGGGGCACTGGGACCCCTGAGATGAAATCTTCCCACTGCCCCAATACCAGAAAGCATACATGGAAATGACAGTCACAAGAAGAAAGGACAGGGTCAGGGACACTGAGGGAGCCAAGAAAAAGAGGCCCTAGGTCTGGTGCTGAGGGCCCCTCACCATCTGGCGGAAGGCCTTGGAGTCCTTGGTCCGGGAGAAGGCACGATCAGGCACCCAGCGCGGCATCAGCCCTTCCATGGAGTTGGCCCGAGTCCGCTGCAGCTTGGCCAGCATGGCCTTCTCCTCTTTCTGTGTGGGCAGCATGGGTACAGGCTCAGAAGAGGGGTACAGGCTCAGAAGAGGGGCCCAGAGGAGGCCTTGGCCTGCTCCTCCCCATTTGTCCCTCTTCCTGCTCCCCTGCCCCCAGCCCTGCCCCGGCCCTGACCCGTTTCTGGCTGGCGCCCAGGATGAGGAAAGTCTCAATGTGCTGCTCCTTGAGGTATGCGTTGCGCTCGCCACCACGGCCCGGCTCCACCTCGTAGTCCCCATTCAGGTACTGCAGTGTTGCCCGAGTGATGTGGATGCGGCTGTACATGGCCAAGAGGGTGAGACCCTGGCTCTCCCACCTTGCTCCCATCCCCCACCACCTGGGCCCCCCTACTCACCCAGCCCGGCCTCCTGCCTCCATGTGGTTGGCCAGGGTCACATCATTGGACCACACATCGAACTGCCATTTCCGCAAGCCAAGGACGCCGCAGTGCACACGCCCACTGTGAATGCCCACGCGCATGTTCACATTCACACCTGTCACCTCACGTACCAGCCTGGGAGGATGCAGCCCCAGATCAGCTCCTGGCAGTCTTCTCCTCCCCCAGCCCACAGCCCAGGCCCTTCACTCCCCTCAGGGCCCAGTGGGCAAGGACAGACCCAGATGCAGGGGACAGGAGCACAGCCTTGGTTGGACATGAGCAGAAGGCTGCATGGGGCTCAAGGACAAATGTTAGGGCTGTGTTCACCAGCAGGGGCCCAGCAGCATCTTGTGGAACTGAGCTAGGAGAAGAGGAATCACTGTTATCCCCTCTGGCCTGCACAGATGGCATTCCCTCTAGCCCAACTCCCCTACTGCACAGGCTGTCCCCGCCCCATCTCAGCTGGCTGGGAGTCTAAGGGTCCGCATGGGTCTTTGCACAGGTTGGAGAAAGATTCCCCTTCCCAGTGACAGACAGACTTCAAAGACAGAGAAACAGCCAAAACTGAGGAAATCTCCTGAGGTCTCATCAAAAAGTAGGAGCAGTCTGGGGAACCCGTAATTCCAGGAAGCCTGGGAATGGGGCACTGCTTACGAGATGGCCTCAATCATGTCTACCCCCATCTCCACACAGCAGTGGGCATGGTCGGCCCGGGCCTCCGGCAGCCCTGACACACAGTAGTAACAGTCCCCCAAGATCTTGATCCTCAGGCAGTGATTCTCCTGAATGGGAAAGAGTTGGAGAGAAGGGTAACCTTTACTCTCTTGCCCACCCAGCCTGCATGGCCCACCACCCTCAACGCACACTCTATCTACTCCCAAATCCCCAGCTGCTGCCAGCAAAGCTATGCTCTCACCACGGTCAACACCCAGGCCCAATCCCAAGGCCCAGCACCCTCACCGCAGCCAGCTTGTCAAACCGGGCAAAGAGCTCATTCAGGGTCATGACCAGCTCCTGTGCAGTGCACTGGGATGCCAGGCTGGTGAAGCCCTCAATGTCTGCAAACAGGATGCTGTAGATGACAGCAGAGAATGAACAGACCACATAGCCCTCAAAGACTTCCAGACCCCCCGCCCTGCTTGGCACCCTCCTGCCCTCACCTTACCTGACATTGTCATGCTTCTGTATGTAGATTTTGTGGAACATCATGTCTTCTTTTTTTGTGTTGATGTCTTCTTTCATCTCCATGGCAACATGCTGGGGCAACACCGACAGCAGCAGCCGCTCCTAGCCCAGTGGTTCCAATAGGCATCACTATACTCTTGGCCTCACATTTCAATCCCTCCTGGTCTCTCCACATCACCAGAGTCCTCCCAGACTTCTCTGAAGACCTTCCCTTCTGGACTGTGGCCTGACCTTCCCCTGTCAGAGCCCCCTCTGACCACCCTCCATTAAGCCCCCAGATGTGCTCCTGTCCACGCCCTCCTTCCCTTGGACAGGACAAAACCCCAGTATCATAGGGCCTCTGTGACACACAACCCAGGGGAACCATCACACTGTGCTCCACGGAACCGGACAAGGCAGCAAATCCAATCTGCAAGTTATGTGGGGGTGAGGTGGGGGCAGGCCCTGGCCAGGGGAGCAGTCCCACCTGCTGCCGATTCTCATGCTGCAGGTGGAGCCGGGCCTGGATGTAACCGCGGGTCTCCTGAAAGGCCTGGCGCTGAGATACCTCTGCTGGATAGTGTGTGCAGATGCCAATGACGTTGGTGCAGAGGAACAGCAGCACATTGGCACCGAGCTGCAGGAGGTGGTAGAGGCAGATAGTGACCATCTCCTCTGCCTACCCCCCCAAATACACACACACACATTCACACAACTTGCTAGGTTCTCTGAGGAAGGAAGCCAGGGCCCTGCATCCTCTCTGTCCCCAAGCTACTGCCACCCCTGCAATATCTCTCTCGCATGACCCACAGGACCCCAGATCCCAGCCAACTGCCTGAATCCTCCATGACTAGAAATGAGATCTTCTCACAGCTTCTGGAAGCAGAAGACCAACCAGGGCCAGGTAAGTCATGGGGCCCAGCTCCGGCACCCTGTATCTCCTGCTCCTCAAACACCCCACACGAAAGACAAATGCTGCTCCTTTTGCAGGTGCTCCTCCTTAAGGACAGCACCCAGGAGACCTGAGCTCTACATCCTCCTGTGAGTGACCCAGGACGAGTCACCTCCTCTCTCTTGGGTTTGTTCATCTATAACCCAAAGAGGAAGAAGAAGATCTCTAAAGCCTCTCCCTGACTTGACATAACTTAGTAACAATAATCACCATTGTCATTATTATTATGGTAGCTAGTTCATTGGCTGCCTACCATGTGCCAGGATTCTGTAGGTGCCTTCTATATACTGACTAACATTTCTTTTTTTTTTTTTTTTGACAGAGCCTTGCTCTGTCACCCAGACTGGAGTGCAGTGGCCTGATCTCAGCTCACTGCAACCTCCGCCTCCCAGTTCAAGCGATTCTCCTGCCTCAGGAATAGCTGGGATTACAGCCAACTGCCACCATGACCGGCTAATTTTTGTATATTTTTTTAGTAGAGAAGGGGTTTCACCATGTTGGTCAGGCTGGTCTTGAACTCCTGACCTCAAGTGATCCACCCGCCTCGGCCTCCCAAAGTGCTTATGGGTGTGGATTACAGGCGTGATCGACCGCGCCTGGCCCCTAACACATTTCTTAAAACTCTATGAAATAGGTAACAATATCCCATTTTAAAGGTAAGGGACTCAGGCACAGAGAAGCCAAGTAACTTCCCCAAGATCACACAGCTGTTAGTGGCTAGTGTGAGACTTGAACCCAGGACAATCAGACTCCAAATTCTGTGTCCTAATCCTACTATCTATCTAGTGCATTCCACACTGTGTAGTACATTCCAGGTTTCCAAGATTCCTACTCACTCTACTGAGTCAAGCTCTCAAGCCCAACCTCAGAGCCCTGGCTTGAGAGTCATCAATTCTACTGATACAAAGGATGTCCTCTAACTGGAGATGGGGTCCACCATGACTGGCCACCCCTCAAGGTATAACTCCCTCTGATACTCGGCCCTGCCAGGCCCTAGGCCTAGGGCCTCCACCCTAGGAATGTTCAGTCCCCAATCATCATCAGTGGCATTGGCTACAAAGCAAGTCTAAGGGAAGCTGGCCTCAGTGTTTCTGGAAACTCAGGAATTAACCTGGAGCTTGTGGCTCCACCCCAGAGTTGGATGGGGCCGGGCTCTGGTTTAAGGAGAAGGGAGGGAAACAGCAGAAGCACCTCCTGGAAGCCAGAGGTTCTGGGCTCTGCCTTGAACTAGAACTAGTCCTGCAAAATTGGGCAGGTCACTTAATCTTCAGGACCTCAGTTTCCTCTTGGGTAAAACCGAGGGGGAGGCCTGGCTCACCCTTAGCCATTTCCAGCGCCAGCCTCTGGGATGGGCCTCCTAGCTTCCCTTCCCAGTCCAGCTCACAGGCCCAGGATCAACTAGGCTGAGCTCCCCCTCCCAGCAGCAGGGGTGAAGAGAGGGGCACACTATCTCCCTTGGGGGTTTCTAAGAATAGCCCCCAGTGGGGGAGAAGGGAAGGGGGGCAAACCAGGCAACTTCCCTTCCTGGCCCCAGGAGCCCAAGAGGAAAATGTGAGTCATGGTGGAGGGAAGGGGAAGGGGGACGAGACTGAAATAACTCTGTACACACACGTCCCTATCTGACTGTGAGAAAAAATGGATGCCAGGGGACCGGAGGAGACTCCACGCTGGGCCTGGGTCACTGGGCGACACTGTTCGATGTGTCTAAGTGAGTGGGTTGGTGGGGACACAGCCTCCTTCCTGTGACTGTGAGCAGGGTGGATCTGGGAAGGGGCTGCCCAAGTAGACGAGGAAGGAGGCCACAAACCCCACCCATCTAGAAACCCTCAGACCCAAACGGGCACAGGGAATGTTTCTCGGCCCAGAGGAAGTTGTAAGGGCAGCCCTGACCCCAAGGACTGGCACAGGCACAGCAGTGACTTTCGCTACTGCCCCAAGAATGTGCCTGTCGAGACCCACTAGGTGAGGCTGTAGCCACACACTCCTGGGGAGATGGGCACAGTCCTGGCCTCCCTGGGACTGCACCTCCCCAGTCAGGCACTGGGCCTGACTCTGGGCACCATGCCAGTTGAGAATAGGGAAGAGATGCCCACCCAGCCCATGCCTGGCCAGAGAGGAAGGGGGAAAGGAGACACCACCTCTAAGCTCCTTCCCCAGGAGGGCAATCCAGCCATAAAGCCCTGGTTGAGAGCCAGCCTGGAAGAGAAGCTCTGGGGCGGAAGAACCTGGCCCTTTAAGATGTCCGACGGTGCCCTAAGGGCACGTGCTCCACAAACAAACAGGCTATAAGGTTACTTTTAAAAAGGTACATTCTGGCATGTGTTCTGGCATTCTGGCCATGTGAGGTGGCTCACTCCTGTAATCCCAGAGCTTTGGGAGACCAAGGAGGGCGGATCACGAGGTCAAGAGATCGAGATCATCCTGGCCAACATGGTGAAACCTGTCTCTACTAAAAATACAAAAATTAGCTGGGCGTGATGGCGTGCTCCTGTAGTCCCAGCTACTCGGGAGGCTGAGGCAGGAGAATTGCTTGAACCCAGGAGGTGGAGGCTGAAGTAAGCTGAGATCGCACCACTGCCCCACTCCAGCCTAATGACAGAGCAAGACTCCGTCTCAAAAACAAAACACACAAAAAACAGGTATGTTCTGTTCTGTAGCACAGGCTGGGTGGAGAAGGGCATCATGCCAGAGAACCTAGCTTCTCACCCTGGGTTCCCCAGGCAACTTCCTCTCTGTGGGTGAGGCAGGGTGGGCAACAGGCCACAAGCCCTCAAAACCTTGAGTAAGATAGCACTCTCTAGATAGGGTCCAGTGGAGGACCCGGGTGGTGTGCTGATGGCGGGGCTGTGCCTACAGCAGCGCCTGAAGGACCTGGCCTCTGCTCCCTGGGCGGGGGGTAACATGAGATGGCAGATCCACAAACTAACATCTCTCTTAAAGAGACTTCCCAGAAACCCCTTCACTGGGTACCATGCCTTCCAGCACTCCCCACACCTCCCTGCCCCCAGGTGTGAACACTGCCCAGTTGGGTTCTACTCCACTCTAGGAAAGGGTGGGGCCCCAACAGCAACATGAGCTAGATGCTATTTTTATCCCAGCTTTGCAGACTGGGAAACTAAGGCTGGGAGAGGTGAGGCTAGTTGTCTAAGATCCCACAGAAAAGAATACAGCCCATTGGATAAGCAGGTCAGCCTACAGCCACTCCACACGGAGCCATGGAGTCCCACCTCACACACACTTGGAGCCTGGAGGCGGCAACAGGCATGGACTGAGAACCTCAAGGAAAGGCGGCCAGGCCCCTGGTGCCCAGCATGGGGAAGGTGGGATACAATCAGACTTAATGTTCCTCTCTTCAACAGTCCAACCCCATTCAAACTACATCCAGCCCAGAGAGAACTGACCCCAGCTCTTCACTTTCCCTGTCCTCCCAGAAGTGGCCTTGGTCCAGGAAAAGAGGGGACTCCTCCCTTGCTGACAACATCCAAAACCTGCTCTATACCTCCAGATCACCACCTAGAGCTGCTCTCCATGGATGGCACCAGCACCTGATCCTCCGGTGTCACCTTGCTAACAGAGATGCTAAAGCCTGGACACAGCCTGCACTGCCTTTTCAGCCCTACCACGGCCCTGGGGCTATATACCACACCCCTGCCTCCAGCCCCACATTCTATCTCTACAGACCACTATTTCAGACGGCTAAAGAGCCAGAGACTGGGGCCCATGGTGACAGTTCAGGCTTGGGTCCTGGGGCCCTCCCTCCCCTCAGCAGTGCCTTCTACCCCAGATCCCACGTGGAGGTGGACCCCTGAGCCCTGGCCTCCCACCTCCTGCTCCTCTTCCCAGATACAGCCAGACATCCCTGCACCCAGCTTCCACCCATGACTCACCCGCCCTTCCTCACTAAGCCCCCACCTGCTTATGAGGTGAGAAATTCCCCACTTGCTGCCCTCCATCCCTACCTCCCTGGCCACCTACCTGCTTCCAGAGGAAGGCATCACCACGGTTAAGTTGCCAGGCCAAGATCAAATGCAGGGTGGAGAGGCCCAGGCCGCTGAGGACCGCAGCCCGCATGCGGATGGGGAGGAGCGTGTAGGCGATGTAGACGAAGAACACAGGGCACCAGAGGCCCGCAGAGGGGCTGCGTGGGTCTGCTGCGAGGGCGCCCCCGACCTGCACTGCCGCCAGGATGCCCAGCACCACGTAGCTCACCACCCACATGGAGTCCTGGCGGAAGCTATGCCGGTTACACACCACCATGAGCCCCAGGAACAGGGCGGCGGCGCAGGCCAGCAGGGCCACATAGGCAGGCTGAGGGCGGGTGGGCGCCGCGTGGAAAGCCAGCAGCACCGCCGTGAGCAGCACCAGCACCGCCATCAGCAGCGTCAGGCTGCTCTGGTTCATCTGGAAGAAGTACCGCTGGTACAGGCGCTCCAGCTTGGCCGAACGGAACTGCTTCGACTGGAACACCTGCACCAGACGGCGCCAGCAGGATCGCCCACTCCTGGGCACCGCGTCGGGCGCCACCTCAGCTGTCCCGCCCACTGTCGTTGTCACCTCTGTGTCCTCGAAGCCCAGGGCCACTGCCCGCAGCCCCAGCTCCTTGCCCTTGCCCGGGCCGCCCCTCCGGATGAAGGTGTCATCCTGCCAGGGGCACCGAGGGGGGCCCGCAGGGGTGGGGCTGGGTGGCTCTGCATCCCGGAGGCAGCTCATATAGCGGGGCGTGCAGAAGCCACCTGCCCGAGTGCCACAGCGCCGTGAACGCTTCTGCCCATTGCGTTCACCCCAGGCTGTTTTCCGTTCATCCACTTTAGGGACCAGGAGGCCACTAAACCATGACATGTTGCTGGTAGGGAAGGAAGGAGATAGTATTAGAGACCATCCAATGGAAGTGGTATTAATACCACCGTCACAGCCACTGCCACCACTAGTAGCTCATTACCTAAGCACTTCCCACTGACAAGCTATGAGTTTCATCGTCATACAATTACTTGGATGTAGGCAACAAGGGTATCCCCATTCAACATGTGAGAAATCGAGACACAGTGAGGAAAAGAAACTTTTCCAAGGCCAGGCACAGTGGCTTACACCTGTAATCCCAGCACTTTGTGAGGCCGAGACAGGAGGATGGCTTAAGGCCAGGAATGTGAGAGCAACCTGGGCAATACAGCAAGACCTTGCCTCTATTAAAACTTTAAAAAATTAGCCTGGGCCAGGCACGGTGGCTCACATCTGTAATCCCAGCACTTTGGGAGGCCCTGGCAAGTGGATCTCAAGGTCAGGAGTTCAAGACCAGCCTGGCCAAGATGGTGAAACCTCGTCTCTACTAAAAGTACAAAAATTAGCCAGGCGCAGTGGCGGGTGCCTGTAATCCCAGCAACTCGGGAGCTAAGGCAGGAGAATTGCTTGAACCCGGGTGGCAGAGGTTGCAGTGAGCTGAGATCGCGCCGCTGCACTCCAGCCTGGGTGACAGAGTGAGACTCCATCTCAAAGAATAAATAAATAAAAATTAGCCTGGTGTGGTGGTGTACACTTACAGACCAGGCCATTCAGGAGGCTAAGGCGGGAGGATTGGTTGGGCCCAGGCAGTGGAGGCTGCAGTAAGCCAGGATTGTGCGCCACTGAACTCTAGCCTGGGCAACAGCCATAGTCTGAAAAAAAAAAAAAAAAAATGGAAGGAAGGAAGGAAAGAAAAAAGGAGGGAGGGAGGGAGGGAGAGAGGGAAAGAAGGAGGGAAGGGAGGGAAAGAAAAGAAAAGAAGAAAGGCTTGCCCAAAGATCCAGCAGCCACATAAGTGAGAGAACCAAGATTCTAAACCAGATTTGTCTGACCCCAAAGCCAGTATACTTGAAAATTTCCCTAAAAGGCACTGATGTGTTGGTGGTCACAAACTCAAGTGCCCAAGTCAATGAGTGATGCAGCTTATGCTTCAGAACTAGGAGGAAAAGAGTTCATACCCTGTGCATTGGGCAAGCACCACCCAGCAGCTGTAGACTATTGCCAGTGGGTCCCGATCTGATTTTTCTCAACAGAAGCAGAAGAAAAAATATGCTGGTTTTTGTTTTGTTTTGTTTTGTTTTTGAGACGGAGTCTCGCTCTGTCACCCAGGCTGGAGTGCAGTGGCAAGATCTCGGCTCACTGCAAGCTCCGCCTCCTGGGTTCACACCATTCTCCTGCCTCAGCCTCCTGAGTAGCTGGGACTACAGGCACCCGTCACCACGCCCGGCTAATTTTTTCTATTTTTTGTAGAGACGGGGTTTCACCATGTTTGCCAGGATGGTCTCGATCTCCTGACCTCGTGAACCAGCTAACAGTGATAATCCTAAGGCTCTTCAGCTTCCTCATTGCACCACAGTCATATAAATCTCTTTGCTCTTTCCCAACACACCCCGCACAGGCCAGCCTGGGACCTCAGTGCCTGCTGTTCCCTCTGTCTGGAACAAGAGCTCCTCCAGGTCACATCCCAAATGTCCCCTTATCAGTGAGGCTCTCTCTGACCACCCTATTAAAATAGCAACCCCCTTTCCTGGAGCTCTCTATCTTTTTCCCAGCTTTATGCTTTTTCTCCATAACTCTAATCAGCAACTGCCATTCTATATATTTTTCTTATGTGTTCATTTTCTGTCTCTCCTGACTGGAATGTCAGCTCTATGAAGGCAAGGATTTTGACCTGCTGTTCTCACTGCCATATCCACAACACTTAGAAGGACCTAAACAAGTGTATATTGAGGCTGGATGTGGTGGCTCACACCTGTAATCCTAGCATTTTGGGAGGCTGAGGCGAGTGGATCACCTGAGGTCAGGAGTTCCAGACCAGCCTGATCAACATGGTGAAAACCCATCTCTACTAAAAATACAAAATTAGCCAGGAGTGGCGGCGGGCGCCTGTAATCCCAACTACTCGGGAGGCTGAGGTGAAAGAATTGCTTGAATCTGGGAGGTGGCAGATGCAGTGAGCTAAGATCACGCCATTGCACTCCAGCTTGGGCAATAAGAGCGAAACTCCAACTCAAAAAATAAAATAATATTAAATGTTCATTGAGTAGATGGATGACTAGATGGATGGATGAATGATATTCCATGCACTTTCTCCATGCTTTAAACTGTTCAAGATCTTTTCACATCCCTAATTCCATCTGATCTTCACCAAAACCCTGAGAAACTAGTCCTGTGGCCCCCTGGGGCACAAGACAGATTTGAAAGGAAAAATATATATAAACAAAAACTGATGTCCATGGCAGTTTTATATGGCTGGCCCAAGTTATAGAGATCATGGTAACCAAATCAGTCCCAGATCCCACATTTCCTGGAGGAAATGTCATTAACTGAGGTGGGAGGACTCCATGATGATACCTTTAGTGTGACTCCTGGCTGAGCCCAGGTCAGAATAAGATGAGGCTGAAAGCACTGTCATCCAAGCATGCCTGTGTCCCCACCAGGGCCATACTCCTCTATGCTCACACAGTACCCTGAGGGGTCCCTTGTACTCAAGCCTGCTGAGCTAGCAGCACTGACATTTGTACTCAGTAGGGGACAGGATGGAGGAATACCCAGCACTTGCCACAGGTGGCCACAGAATGAGAGCTCAAGCCAGATGCGCAGCACTCAAAGCAGACACCCAGGGACCCACAAGCAGAAGGCAGGCTGGGGAATTCTCCACATATCCCAAAACTCCCATCCCTGGGTCACCCTCAGCCAAGTTCTGTCGGCATCCCTTCTCCTATATCCCACAGCAGTATGTCCTTCGACCTCCTTTTGTTTTTTTGTTTAAGATGGAGTCTCACCCTGCCCCACCCAGGCTGGAGTACAGTGGCACAATCTTGGCTCACTGCAACCTCTGACTCCCGGGTTCAAGCAATTCTCCTGCCTCAGCCTCCCCAGTAGCTGAGATTACAGGCACCTGCCACCACGCCCGGCTAATTTTTGTATTTTCAGTAGAGATAGGGTTTCACCATGTTGGCCAGGCTGGTCTCGAACTCCTAACCTCAGGTGATCCGCCTGCCTTGGCCTCCCAAAGTGCTGGGATTACAGGCATGAGTCACCATGCCTGGCCCCTTCAACCTCTTAACATCACCAACAGCACCATCTGGAAGGACAGATCAGGAATACAAGACTTTTGGTCAGGCTGGCATTTGGAAAAGGTCACCAAAGAAAGCCCGGCTCTTCAAAATACTTCATTAGAAGCATGATCTTTGGCATGAGACCAGGTTCCAAACCTTAGCGTGATTATTTACTAGCCGCACTGCCTTGGGCAAGTTATTTAACCTCTCTGTGTCAGTACCTTCATCTGTAAAATGGAAATAATAATTGTCCTCTGGAAAGAATCTAATAATGCCTGTCATGAAGTACACACTTGAAAAATATTAGTTCTTCTCCTCACTCTACAACACTTTAAACCCAAATCTCTGTCAGCGTCAAGAGATGGAAAAATGAGAAAATCATGAGCAAGAACACACGTCTTTCTAGCCAGTCAGATGCCTGGTTCTATCAGTCCCTATGTCCTTGGCTGTTAGTCCCCAGAGCTGCTGGAGACAGAGCCCAGAGTGAGCAGGTTTCCCACCACCATCCAGCACCCACAACATTTTGCTTCAGCCTCCCCTCATTCACCAGTCCCCTTCCCTGTTCTTATCTCCCCCCACACAACCCCCCACCCCCACCACTGGCCCAGACCTCTTTCCAAAGGACTAGTTTCTGGCCAGGTTCCCAGCCCCCTGGAAACACATCCTAGCATCTGGCTCATACCCACAGAGAAAGGGGCAGACACTATCCAGGAGAATGCATGACCCTCCCAGGAACACTCTGACTCCCTAAGGGGATAGCTTCAGAGCTGTGTAATTGTCCAACCAACTGCAACCATCCCACTCTGGGCTCCACTCCAGGCACTGCCCATCCCTGAGAACTTGCCGGCCTCCCAGCATTTCTGGCACCCCATGCCAGACTAGTATGGCAGGGAACAGGGGAGAGCACTGTTCCAAGCCACAAAACTCTATATGGTCCCCCAACCCACTTTGTCCAGCAACCCATCACTATGAGAGCTCTGGGAGCACAGACCACCTCCCTCCTCCCCGGAGTCAGGCTCCTAAGCCTTGTGCCTCTGACCTCCTCCTTCCCTGAGTGTTGGTCCATTTGCTCTCTCACAGATCTGCTGCTCTTCACACCACCGGCTCCCACAGCCAGAGCCATGTCCCATTCAGCCTGGCAGGCCCAGGCTCAGTCCCAGACCTCAAGTCCCTCCCAAACCCTGATCAGGCTGAGACCAGAGTTTGGAACCCGCCAAGGCCAAGGCCCAGCCCTAAGGATGGCTCTGCCTACTGCCTTGCCAAGCCTTCCTGGCCACCTCCTGTCTATCCCATCCCCAGGGCCCATCTGCCCCTGCCCTCCTTGGCAAAAGGAGGCTCCAGGGGATTTAAAACGACTTCAGAAAGTTCATGGCAAGAGGCACTGCCCAGGCAGGGCCCAGCAGTGCCAGCACCGCCCACCATACTGGGACATGGGCCTCACTTCTTCAATTCTGGGCCTTTCCAGATGTAGAGGAGACTACCCAGGGCCTTTATCTGTTGGTCCAGTGCCCGCTGCCGCCTTCTCCCATCCCCAGTCCTCGCTCTTCCTAAAGATTACAGAGGGCTCCCACATCAAGCCTTACTGTGCAACCCCCACCAAGTCCCTCCAGCTCACAGGGGTAGTCTGGTAAGGGGAGGATATGGGCAAAGAGGCTTCCACGCCTGATTCCACCTCTAGCCTTTCAGTCGAGCCCAAGAGTCTGCTTTGAATAAGTCAGCTCCCCTGCCCACCCTGCGGCAGGCCTTGGGGGATGTGGGGAGCCGAACCCACCCCTTTCATTCCCAAGGTTTGGGGTGAGGCGAAGGAGAGGGACTCCCGCAGACAGAGGGCATCCCTGCCTCTGCCCAGGCCGGTTCCTCTCCCCTAAATGGAATCTCTCCCAAACTCAGAGACTCACCCCACAGCCCCACAGCAAAAAACTCAGGCCAGCCCCTCCCCCAGTACGTGCCAGGTCCTCCTGGCCTCCGGGCAAGCCTGGAACTCGCCCCGTGGAGGGAGGCCGGCAGCGGGCGACGCGGGTGGCGAGCGCCGGACCTAGGAGACCTCGATCCCACTGCCTCCATGACTTCCCTTTGCCAACCCCAACTCCCTCGGGCAACCCGCCAAACACTGCCGAGACGACCCGTCCCAGGCTTCGGCGCCCCCACCCATAAACTCCTATTGAGAGCCGCTCGGGAGCGTTCCAATCCTGGAGCCCCGGGAGCCCGAGCGGTCACTTCCCCAGCCCTCCGCGCGCTCACCTGCCGGCCAGTCTCCGCGCCTGCCCCGGGCCCCCGCCCCGCCGCCCCCGCGGGCTCCGGCCGGCCGGCCGGCCGTCCCGCGGTCCTTCTCCGAGCCCGCGCGTCCTGGCCGTCCCGCCCGCCGTCCGCCGTCCGCCCGGCCCTCGCCCCCTCCCGAGCTGTCCAGCGCAGCCGCCCTCTACCCCGGATCCAGAAGTCCCCTCCCCGCTGGCTCCCGGACTCCCCGCCTTAAAGGCACAAGCTCCTTTTGTCTGGGCACCCCCCTCCTCCTCCCCAGAAGCGGGGGCCGAGTCGCCCACTCCCCTTCCTAGCAGCGGGGTAGGGGCGCAGGAGGCCAAATAATGGGACCCCTCCCTCCGCGCGCCCCCTCCTCTCCTCCGGCCGCTTCCTCCCCCAGTCCTGAGAAGACAAGCGGCTACTGTTCTGGGATCAAGACCCCGGGGGGATGGGACCTCGCAGCCCAGTCCCCTTCCCTTCACCCCGGCCGCCTCCTCCTTCATTCCTCTCCCGCCCTCACCCCGGGGGTCCCCAAGCGCGCCCGCAAACCCACCTCTCACGGCTACATCCCCCCGTCCCGCCCACCAAGGGTCGCCTTCCTTCCTGTAAGGGTCGCAGGGGTTGGGCCCGCGCCCTGCGCCCACTCTTCATCCCCACTTCCTCACTGCCCCGGCCCCTGTCCCAGCCCCAGCCCCAGCCCCAGCCCCCACCTAGCCATTCCCGCCCTGCCTGTCACGGCCCTGCGCCCTCCCGCGGGAACTCAGTTTAATAATTAATTAAGATCTCATTCCACAAGGCGCCAGGTGTGTGCGGCCTGCTTGCCCGCACACCACTTCTTTCCTCTTCCCCCAGCCTCTGGGGCAGCGGCCCCGAGGCGAACCTGCTGGACCCAGTGGAGAGATCCAGGGAAGGGGCACTCTCCCTGCCGCCCCCCGCAACCCCCCGCCCCATTCTCTAGGAGCCCCTCCCCGCACGTGCCAATTTGCAACCTCGCCCCCTGGCACCTTTTACCCAAAGGGCTGTGCTTCTCTGCTGGGGGTTGGAGGGGCTGCTGGGGTGCATTGCTAAGTGAACGAACTGAGGAATTGGGACTTTTATTTCCAGCAGGGAGCAGCTGCCCAAGTTACCTGGGAGATGGGAAAATCGTGTCAAAGCTGGTTAACCCTTTGAGGATTAGAATAATGGTGGAAGCAGGAAGGAGAAGGGGGTTCACTCCCAGGATGTACATAGGTGAGTCTGGCTTTAGAGGGGGTGCCATTCTGGAGCTGGGAGGAAGGCAGCCTACCTGGCTTCTTTTTGAGGCCCCCTTTCCATTCCTTCAGTCAGACCTCTGGCTCCTCCTTCCAATTCAGCACTTTCCCAGGCAGCCCATTCCCCACCCAAGATCCCAAGACCTAGATATCTGAAGATGCTTCCTCCTCAGGACCAGCCCTCCCTGCAGTCTTGTCCTTCACGGCTCAAGTCTTGTCTATTCCAAATCACCACTGGGATTCCTAAGTCCAGGACAGAGCTTCAGGCAAGGAAAAGAGAAGAGTTGGGAAAGCCAGTTTCCAACATTTATCAGCCACGTGTACCTGCAAACTATATACCTTGGGTAAATCATCACTCTCTTGAAATGGGAGTAAAACCATCTGCCTTGTCTTTCTTACAGGATTTTCAGAATCAGATAGAGAAATGTTGGTTATAATGTTTGAAAATGGGAAAGTGATACTCTCATTATCTCAGTTGTGCAGGCCTGGCCTGTAATTAGATCTTTGGGGCCTTTTTGCCTGACTTCAAAATTTCCTTAAAAATTGTTTTTGGTATCAAAATTTCCTCTTCAAAATACCGAATCAGGTTACCTACCACTTACGCTTAGAATAATGTGCTCATGGCCGGGCGCGGTGGCTCACGCCTGTAATCCCAGCACTTTGGGAGGCTGAGGCGGGCGGATCACGAGGTCAGGAGATGGAGACCATCCTGGCTAACACAGTGAAACCCCGTCTCTACTAAAGAATACAAAAAATTAGCCGGGCGTAGTGGCGAGCGCCTATAGTCCCAGCTACTCGGGAGGCTGAGGCAGGAGAATGGCGTGAACCCGGGAGGTGGAGCTTGCAGTGAGCCTAGATTGGGCCACTGCACTCCAGCCTGGGCGACAGAGCAAGACTCCGTCTCAAAATAATAATAATAATAATAATAATAATGTGCTCATGAGTCCCATGGGGAAAATGCAAAAAACAATTGAGATAAATAGCGTAAAAAAACGAAATTTTAGCCGGGCGCGGTGGCTCACGCCTGTATTCTCAGCACTTTTGGGAGGCCAAGGCGGGCAGATCACGAGGTCAGGAGTTCAAGATCAGCCTGACCAACATGGTGAAACCCCGTCTCTACTAAACATACAAAAATTAGCAGGATGTGGTAGCACGCTCCTGTAATCCCAGTTACTAAGGAGGCTGAGGCAGGAGAATCGCTTGAACCTGGGAGGTGGAGGTTGCAGTGAGCTGAGATTGTGCCACTGCACTCCAGCCTGGGTGACAGAGTAGGACTCTGTCTCAAAAAAAAAAAAAAAAAAAAATTAGCGGGGTGTGATGATAGGTGCCTGTAGTCCCAGCTACCCAGGAGGCTGAGGCAGGAGAATTGCTTGAACCCGGGAGGCGGAGGTTGCAGTGAGCAGAGATCATGCCCCTGCACTCCAGCCTGGTCAACAGAGCGAGACTCTGTCTCGGAAAAAAAAAGAAATTTATATTTTGGAATGGAAGGCCTTGTCCTTCATTTTATTTTAAAATGAGAAAAAAAATTGGACACTATCCAAGTAAGCTGGAGAAATATGCTAGGGGTCCTTCTCTGGGCACTGTAAATCTCACTGGCCATCCCTACCCTAGAGTGTGAGTGGTGTGTTAGTCTGGCCTCCGACATTCCATTTTCAGTTCCTAAAGGGCAGGGCCACCATCAAATCTATTTCTAGCACTATAGAATATTAGGACTTTTCTTTTTCTTTTTTCTTTTTTTTGTGAGACAAGGTCTCCCTCTATTGCCCAGGCTCACTGCAACCTCCACCTCCCAGGCTCAAGTGATTCTCCTGTGGCAGCCTTCTGAGTAGCTGGGATTAGAGGCGCCCACCACCACGCCTAGCTAATTTTTGTATTTGTAGTAGAGACAGGGTTTCTCCATGTTAGCCAGGCTGGTCTCAAACTCCTGACCTCAGGTGATCTGCCTGCCTCCGCCTCCGAAAGTGCTGGAATTACAGGCGTGAAGCCACCGTGCCCAGCCTTAGAATCATTTTTTTTTTCTTGAGACCAAGTTTCGTTCTGTTGCCCAGGCTAGAGTGCAGTGGCACAATCTCTGCTTACTGCAGCTTCTGCCACCTGGGTTCAAGTGATTCTCCTGCCTTAGCCTCCTGAGTAGCTGGGATTACAGGCGCCTGCCGGACATGAATATTAAAGTCTTAAGTTCCTAGAGGGCAGGGCCACCATCAAATACCTATTGCTAGCACTATAGAATATTAGGACTTTTTTTTTGTTTTGAGACAAGGTCTCGCTCTGTTACCCAGGCTGGAGTGCAATGGCACAATCTCAGCTCACTGTAACCTCCGCCTCCTGAGTTCAAGCAATTCTACGTCAGCCTCCCGAGTAGCTGGAACTACAGGTGCGTGCCACCATGCCCGGCTAATTTTTGTATTTTTAATAGAGACAGGGTTTCACCATGTTGCCCAGGCTGGTCTCGAACTCGAGCTCAAGAAACCTACCTATTGTGGCCTCCCAAAGTGTTGGAATTATAGGCATGAGCCACCACGCCTGGCCAATTGGAAGGTTTTAACTCTAACAAAGAGAAGAAAAAGAGAGAGAGGCAGTCAGCAGGAACTGTATTTCTCCACGTCTAGCTTGCTTGATCTCAATGACCTTTTTTTTTTTTTTTTTTTTTTAAATAATACAGACCACAGTCACACGAGTGATGTATTTTCAATCTCTCATTTTCAGGAAGAGGAAACTCTTACAAGCAGAATGTATTATATGTAAATGCAAGTTTCACACAGCCAAAAGTGTATCTGGACAACACTCTATAAATAAGCAGTGTTGAAAACACTCTGCAATGTAACTAATAGATAGGCTTGAGTGCCCTGAGCCTTCCTTGGGTTGTTTGGGTTACAGCTAAACTAGCCTCCGCCTCCACCCTTTTTAGCAAAGATTCCTTTTACAATGCAAACAACCATTCCCTAACTTTTCTGTCTTAAAGATCAAAATTCTGCACAATTTATTTTCTGAAAGTAAGAAAGACATATAAAAAAAATTCACGGTTGGGTGCGGTGGCTCATGCCTGTAATCCCAACACTTTGGGAGGCCAAGGTGGGCAGATCACCTGAGTCAGGAGTTTGAGACCAGCCTGCCTGGCAAGGTGAAACCCCGTCTCTCCTAAAAATACAAAAATTAGCCAGGTATAGTGACACGCGCCTGTAGTCCTCCCAGCTACTTGGGAGGCTGACGCAGGAGAATTGCTTGAACTCAAGAGGCAGAAGTTGCAGTGAGCCGAGATTGCGCCACTGCACTCCAGCCTGGGGGACAGAGTGAGACTCCGTCTCAAAAAGAAAAAAAAAAAAAAAAATCACATTCATTCAATCTAGCAAATATGCCTTGTCCATTTCACTACCCCTAACACCACTGCTGCTACCACCACCACCACCATCACCACTCCAGAGACTCGCAACCCCTTCTAGTCCCAGGGTTGGAATAGGCTCTGGCCAACTCCATTTCCACCGCCACCACCACCACCACCACCCTTGGGAATGGGCTTAACTCCAGGGGTATACAAAATCCCTTCCCCATCCCCTTAGATCCATTATTCATTCATCCCATAAATACTTATTTATGTATGAGATGGAGTCTCGCCCTGTCTCGCTACTGTGTGTTAGGCACTCTTCTAGTAATAGGTGCTGAGGATACAGTAATTGAACTCAGCAGACGTCTCATTAAGTTTACCTTCTAGTGGGAGGAAACAATAAATAAATGAATAGATGAGGCTGGTTGTGGCAGCTCACACCTGTAATCCCAGCACTTTGGGAGGCTGAAGCACAAGGATCACTTGAGCCCAAGAGTTTGAGACCAACCTGGGCAACATGGTGAGACCCCATCTCTACAAATAAAATTATTTAAAAACCTGAAAAAATGATGAGCCAGGTGCCTATAATCCCAGTGCTTTGGAAGGCTGAGGCAGGAGGATTGCTTGAGCTCAGGAGTTTGATACCAGCCTGGTCAACACAGTGAGACCTCATCTCAACTAAAAATTTAAAAAATTAGCCAAGTGTGGTGCTGTCCACTTGTGGTTCCAGCTTACTCAGGAGGCTGAGGCAGGAGGATCACTTGAGCCC